TCATTTCTTTATAAAAGTAAACAAAGGAAGCATATAACAGAATCTCTTAATGCTGTAAGTACTAAATACCATGAAAAGATAAAGGATTAAGAGCTCACAACACATCAGACTAATTAGGAATCACATCATGAGAAAGGTAGCATTTTCAGATGCATCTGAAGGAGGACAAATCAGGCAATGGAATATGCCAAGTGAAGGAAAGTGGAGAAGAAGCACATAGTAGGGTTGGTGCATAGGAGATAACATGAGAAAGGAGAGAGAGACAGAAAACTAGGTTGAGGACAAATTGGGCAAGGCTATGAGTACCAAACTGAGGTGTCTGGTGTTTTTTGTTTTTTGTTTTTTGTTTTTTTAATTTAGTTGGCAATGAGCAGGTACTTATTGTTTTCTGAGAAAGTTTATAACATTTGTGAACTAAGTTTTAGGAACATAAATCTAGTGGCAGTGTTTACATGGTTACTATGGTAGGCAGGATTCTAAAATGACTCCCAGTGACCCATGATCTTGTATGATCCTCTCCATTTTGAATGTAGAAGGAAACTATGAATATGATGGTATATTACATGGTTCACTTGTGTTCAATGGCAAAGTCAACTTTAAGAATGGGATGTTATGCTTGGCAGGCCTCACTTCAGGCATGCTCTTTACAAAGATGGGGTTTCTTTCTGGAGAAAGAAATTAGAAGTACTGTATTCAACATGCAAAAAAGTATTTATTATTGGTTTTAATATGGAGGGGGAACACACAGAAAAAATGGCAAGTGACTTCTAGTAGCTGATAACAAGTCCTGGCTAAAAGTCACTAAGAATATGGAACCATGGTCCTACAATTACATATAAGGAATTGGATTCTGCAAAAATCTGAATGAGCTTAGAGGAGGATTTATACCCACAGCCTTCAGATAAGAATACCACCTGGCCAACACATTGAATGTGAGACCCTAAGCAGAGAACCCGGCTGAGTCACACTGAACTTCTAACTTACAGAATGATGAGATAATAAATGGGTGTTGTTTTAAGTCTCTAAGTTTGTAGTAATTTGTTATGCAGCAATAGAAATCAGATTTATCTGGAGTGGGGAAGAGCTGGAAGCTATTTAGGAGACTAACAACGTAGCCTAGATTAAAATAAATTAATAACTAAATGAAAGGGGTTGCAATAGAAAAAAGGAGAATAAATGAAAGAAATAGCAGAGATAGCCTCTATGTGACTTAGTAATTAATTTATGATGCTCAGTGAGAAGGAGAAGGCGAATAGAAGTCTATGACTTGGAACCTGGATGGCTAAAATGGTAAGAGTGCCAACAGAAAGGTTCGGAAACCAAGAAATTAAGATGGATGACCAATTTCATTTTAGATGCACTGAATTTATGATACCAATAGGATAAACACAGTTTGTAAAAACTGGGTGGGGGAGCTGAAATACTGTAGACACTCAAGGTTGGAAATACTTGTGGAGTTATTGGTAATCAATACAAGCATATAACTCAAGTGAGTTAACTGGAGAAATAATGGAGAGAAAGATCGGTTTGAAGTTGGAAGAAGATCCCAGAAGAAAGACTTCGCCCACCTAAGTGTAGATTATATTCTTCCTCTATCTGAAATAACCTATCTAAAATGCCCTTGGAAAATCACCTACTTTGCTTTTAAATCTCAGTTCAACTACTGTCTCTTCCATGTAGCACTCTCTGCCTTACTCAGCCAGAAAAAAAAAAAAAAAAAAAAAAAAACACCTTAAGGTTTTTCAAGTGGTTATTCCTATCTCTCAAGTAGACTAAGTTTTCAGAGGACAGGAACCATTTCATTTTATCTTTGTATTTTCAACCCTAAATTGTCAAGAACACAATAGGTACTAAACATGTATTGAGCGAATGAATCAAAGATGGTAGTAATAAAAAGAGGAAGAAACCAAAACTTCACAACTGCTAATATAGTCTTACATAAGTATTCAATAATAATGGTTGATGGGAAGTTTTTAGAAAATAATTTTGTATTACTCAAGAATATCAATAAAGACAAGCATAATACACATGTATTCATACATATACACATGGGGTTTTTATAGTCAAAAGTAGAGTTTAATGCAACAGAATCCGCTAATCCACCAATCTGCTGTTGTTTTCTGTTTTAGAAATGCCTTCCTTTAACTCTCCTTATGTTTAGGAAAAAAGACTGATAAGAATCCTCTGATTCAGTAGTTGGCTACAACAGTCACAACCTCTAACATAAAATAGGAAAGACCTATTATTTAAAAATGAAAACAAATCTTAATTAATGCAACGCAACAGAGAAATCAAATACAAGGCACATGTACTACCAATATGTTTAACTCAGTTCCTCCTGAAAAGCTGCAAACCCTCCATACATCAAGGAAATCAGATGCTAAGCCAGAAATATGAATCCTATGATTTAAACCATTTGAGCAGAGGCATCTCAAGATGCCAGCATTCTGAAACAATTTAATCCATCCAAGGCTGGGATTCTGTCGCCTTTGATAAAAGAAACACTGTGCTACTGTCTTGAATATCACAAGGTGGCATCTCCAGGTGTGCTGATGAGGGAATTGTTTCTTTCCCATTTAATTTGCTTCCAATTCAATTTCCCAAGAAATCATTCCAAGAGTCTGGCAAGGGTGCCATTTATTTGTCATTGCTGGATATGCTGCTGCTGGCTTCATCCATTTCATCCATTGCTCCCTCTTCTTGGGTGTATGTTGGTTGCAAATGAGTTACTATAAGTCCAAAATTTGGTTGCTGCTAGTGTTCTCTGGTTTGCTGGCTCCCATATCCAGATTCTATTCTAGTCTGGAATTACAGCTGGAAATCTCTGTTAGGGATTATTCTACTTGCTCATCACCCCCTGTTACTTTGATTATTCTAAATGTAACGGTTGGTCATTAAAATATAAAGATGGGTATGCCTTGATCTGTGCCTTAGACAAAAACAGACAAGCGATTCTCTTAGGTCTCAGTCGACTCTTTTTAAGCATTTGCTATGTGCTAGGCACTATGCTAATCTCTTGACATGGACTATCCAATTATTCTTTACAACAACCCTGTGAGATGGCACTATTATTTTATGGTTATGGCTTAAATAACCAATTGGAGGCACAGCAAAGGGAAGGTAGCCATTGAAGGCATGCTGTCAGTCTTCAGTATCTATGAATGAAGAATCATGTGGAGTACAGAGTGGCAAATGTTGTCACAGAAATATGCACTGTAGCTAAAGGGAGGGAAGTCACAAAGATGGTTTCAAAGGGGAAGAGGATGAACTTTTAGCAATGAGGACTGGAGCTTGGGGGGACCCAGAGCTATATATTTAAAGGCCAGAGGTGACCACCAAGGCAGAAGAACTGAAAAAGAATTTTCTTCTGGATTTGGCATTCTCCCAGGGCAGAGTAAAGATGTCAGGAACGTTTGAGGCAGGCCTAGAAAGAGGAGGCAGATCACGGAACTGAGAGAGAGCAGAAAGGAATGGAAAAAGAACCAATAGTTCACAGGGAAAAAATCAAAGACAGAGAGTTTCCAGGGCCTATTGAATTTTGCAATTAGATCTTCATTATTAATCACAAAAGCTATTATGTTCTTTATGCCAAGCAAAGATCAAACACATGATCTCATTTAATCCTCACAGCTACTCTTGAAGTACGTGTTATTATCTGCAGAACAGTTCCCGGGGTGGCTAAGGGCAAAATCCAAACCGCAGTGGGTTAAGAAGTGACTGAGTGGGGAAAATGTAGTCTAGATTTGGGATAAATTTAGGATAGAAAGGGATTGAGCCCCTACTAAAGGCTAGTGAGTGCGCCAGTCACTTTAGCACTGCTTTCTAATGTCATCCAAACAAAACTCTAAATGGAATGTGTTGTTTTTCACCATCAAAGAAGAAACTCAGATTTGGAGACATGGTGTGACTCCAGGAGACTATCTTCGTTTCAATCAACTCCATTGCCCCACAGAGGGGAAGAGGGATAAATGCAACAGACATTGACTGAGGATTTTACTGCATCTGGCCAAGAACTGCACTAAGAACATTTACATGGATTGCACACTGAAACTTCAGTTTAAATGCTAATTTCATTATTAATAGTCTGGTGATCTGGACTGAGGCCAGAAACCACACTCCCTGAGTTTGGATCTCAGTTCATTCACTTACTATGTATCCTTTTGCCTCAGTTTCCTCATCTGTAAAATGGGTTTTGTTGTGAAAATTATTTGGTAATATACATGAAATATAAATAACAAGGCATGTCTAGAGTATAAGTGTGGAGAAAAATGTTAGCTCGTAGTTGTTTTCTTGTTTGTTTGTTTTTTGTTTTGAGACGGAGTTTGCTGTGTCACCCAGTCTGGAGTGCAGTGGCACACTCTTGGCTCACTGCAACCTCCATCTCCTGGATTCAAGCCATTCTCCTGCCACAGCCTCCCCAGTAGCTGGGATTACATGTGCGCACCACAACGCCCAGTTAATTTTTGTATTTTTAGTAGAGATGAGGTTTCACCATGTTGCCCAGGCTGGTCTCGAACTCCTGACCTCGTGATCCACCCGCCTCAGCCTTCCAAAATGCTGGGATTACAGGCCTGAGCCACAGCGCCAGGCTGCTCCTGGTTTAATCTCCATTGTACAGTCATGACAAGAAAGGATTAGGAAGACAAAGCCAGCAACTCTCATATTCTGTTCCGGACTCAGGGATCTTCCAGACACCCTTGTTTTAACCACCACTGCACCATCCTGCTGGGAAACCTTTTGGGGACCTGTAGGAAGGAAACTTTTGGGGAAAGCTGTAGGTGAGGTTGTGGTGTGTTTGTTTGTTTTCTTATTTGTTTTTAACATGATGTTGACTCGCACATATTTCTCACCTCGAGAGAAGATGATGCGGGAGAGAGGGGCATTATGATGGGTATGTGCTCAGAAAGACAGGTAGCTACGATGACGGGGTACAGGTGCAGGGGTCGCAGTGTGGGTCAGAAAAGGCTCAGGAAAGTAAGCGAGAATGGTGTTCACGTTGTGACTTTGTTTGGAATCAGAAGAGCGAAAACCCAGAAAGAAGTTCTGTTTTCCTCTGCCCTCCTGCTAGCCATCATACAGCCACCGTTCTTGGAGAATTACAAAAAAAAAAAAAATTTAAAAAAAGGCCGTCCCTCCGACCATTTCTTTAGTCCTAAGTCTCCCTTTCCCTTCCTCTCCCCAGCCATCCCCACCCCTACTTCCTCTTCTCTCCCTCCCGCTACCAGTTCTCTGGTTACTCCCCGCCTTGCTTCTATCCCAGCCTGGTGCAAGCTAAGAGGGCGAGGACGAGGGAGTGGGAGAGATTGGCTGAGGACTCTACAGATCAGCTAGAGAGCGAAAGAACTAAGTTCTCTCTCTCTCTCTCTCTCTCTCTCTCTCTCACACACACACACACACACACACACACACACACACACACACACACACGTACACTAAAAAACTCGGACCAGCGGCGCCGCAGCTGCTCCAATCCCTGGAAAAGGCCATCGAGCGCCCTCCCGACCGCTGCGCACAGCCCCGGCTCCGACCTGGCGCCCAAAGCAGAGCTAGTCCTAGTCCCTAGCGCGGCCCGTTTGGCCGGGTGTTCCCAAAAATAAAGCGAGGAGGGAAGGTACAGACAGATCTTGAAAACACCCGGGCCACACACGCCGCGACCTACAGCTCTTTCTCAGCGTTGGAGTGGAGACGGCGCCCGCAGCGCCCTGCGCCGGTGAGGTCCGCGCGGCTGCTGGGGAAGAGCCCACCTGTCAGGCTGCGCTGGGTCCGCGCAGCAAGTGGGACTGGCAGCTGTCTCGCTGCACCCGGTCGTGTCCCGGGCTCCGTGCGCCCTCGCCCTAGCTGGTTTGGAGTTCAACCCTCGGATCCGCCGCCGGCTCCTTGCGCCTTCGGAGTGTCCCGCAGCGACGCCGGGAGCCGAAGCGCCGCGCGGGTATCTCGCCATGGCCATGGCTGGGGCGAGCAGGATGCTCTTTCTGTGGCTGGGCTTCTTCTGCGTGAGCCTAGCGCAGGGAGAGAGACCGAAGCTACCTTTGCGGGAGCTCCGCAAAGCTGTGCCAGGTGACCGCACGGCAGGTGGTGGCCCAGACTCCAAGCTGCAGCCGCAAGACAAGGTCTCTGAACACATGCTGCGGCTCTATGACAGGTACAGCACTGTCCAGGCGGCGCAGACACCAGGCTCCCTGGAGGGAGGCTCGAAGTCCTGGCGCCCTCAGTCCCTGCGTGAAGGCAACACGGTTCGCAGCTTTCGGGCGGCGGCAGCAGGTGAGTGCGCGAGGTGAGACCCCTTCCCGCGGTTCCGCCCCAGCTTTCTCCCAGGACCCCCCACAGCTTCCTTGTCTGCCTCTTGCTTGGTGGCGCTGCCCAGGGACCTTTCTCCACCCTCCGCAGCTGCCTTCTGGATTCCTCCTTCCAGTCACACCCCGCGTGTCACCAGCTGCATCTCCTGTAAGCCCAGTTTTCAAATCCAAAGTGAGGGGGGAAATAGAGAGAATGAAAGGCGCGAAGCAGTGGAGGGGGTAGGCTGGAGGAACTTCGTGGAAAAAGGGAAGGGGTGACACCCCATGCCTGTGAGGCCTCCTGCCCTGAGTGACTGGAGCACCTCTAGGGTAACTTATTCTGTTGATTCCTAAATCGGCCAGCGGAAATTCCTTTGGACTGGGCTTTAGCCATGTTTACTAAGAGGCAGATGCCATTTTATGCCAATGCCAGGGCCCAAGAGAGAAATTACACTTGAATAAGACGCCTTCCCCTCTCTTTTTAAATAGTCGCTTCTCCAGATCTTGCACCCGCTGTAAATTCGCGCCGTTTGTGTTACTGTACTATATTTGACACTGTACTTGATAGTTCCTTAGTGGCAAAGAAAGAAACAAAAGAAAAGAAAGAAAGGAAAGAAAGAAAGAGAGGAAGGAAGAAAGGAGGGAGGGAAGGAAGGAAGGAAGGAAGGAAGGAAGGAAGGAAGGAAGGAAGGAAGGAAGGAAGGAAGAAAGGAAGGAAGGAAGGAAGAAAGGAAGGAAGGAAGGAAGGAAGGAAGGAAGGAAGGAAGGAAGGAAACAGGTGCTTGGGTGTTTCGATTATTTAAAACGCATCTGGGTAAATAGGGATTGTACCATCCATCCTGGGAGGAGCTGGGAGACAAGGGGAGGGAGCAACCCTGGATGTAAACACCTCTTGGAATCTGCCCAAGAAAATCTGCTCATCCCATTTTTCAGCACAGATCACTTTGGACTGAAATTCATGGCTTAACAAGGTTTCTCCTAGCCCCTGTGGTGAAGGGAATAACTTATGCTAACAGCCTCCCTCCCTTGTGCTAACAGCTTGCGGGAAAGCTTCCTGGACAGTAACTCTGTTTTTACGCTTTGAGGATTCACCAGGCTTTTTTGTTCACTACATTCATGATAAGGGGAAATGTAACTGCAAAGCCTATCTTCAGTGAACTGTTGAATAATAGCCAAGAATCTTCAAGAAAATGAGGCCATGTCTGAATCAATACTGTCAGAATCACTAGAAATAAATCTCCCAAAAGTCTGTTTGTAGGACTCCTGAAAAAAGGGAAAACTAAAGCATTCATCAAGGAAAGCTCTGCATTGTCTGTGTAAATATATTCTAGAGCTTATAGGCATGATGACATTTACAATAGATGTGAATTATGCTTCCTAATGCAGAAGTATTTAGCTAGAGACTGAACTGAACCAGATTTTACTTTCTTAAAATCATGAGCATGATTTGTGAGGAGATGGCCACCAGTAAGGAAAAAGAGACTTTCTCTGTGTTATCTACAGTATCCCAGCCATTGGAGGAGGCTGTCCTGACAGCTGACTACACCAGTGAATACTCTGTTTACTTTAGTGCAACTCTAGGGGCATAACTCAGTGAAGAACTCATGTGAGAATTGCAAAGATTGAAAGGAAGTTGGGTGAGCTAGGCAGATGGCAAAAATGAAGGTACTCAAATCACTCTCATCTTGATACTTGTTTTCTTGGTTATATTGCTAGGGAATAACTGAGGCCACTAAGATTAAAAAAAAAAAAACTTTTTTTTTTTGTATTAACAAGTTTCATTTATAGTATGAACCACATGGTTTGGAGGTAGAATTCGAGTTTGTTTCATTCACATATTGTACAGCTTTTATTTGTTTTAGGCTAAGTTAACCATGGATAAAGATTTTAATAACTCAGGCACCATATTCTTTTTGGCTTCAACTCATTCCTTGCAATATAATTCCAGAGTGTCCCTTATCAGCCTCACTGTAGTCTCATAGCATCAAATAATAAACTCTGATATGGAGGCCAGACATTCCCTTGAAATGATGAGTTGCAACTTGATGCATATATACAAGACTGTGTGCCCTGATAAGAAAAGTAATCCCTTTAGCATCCTAGAGACTGTCTTAATGACTTATTCATCAAATGTAGACACTGGTTTTTGTGGAAGCTTAAGTGTCATGTTACCTCATTGAGACTCCTGGAGAGGTGGTTCGTGTTGGACCCCTTCCAAGAGTGTTTAGTTACTAACACACTAAAAAGACTATTATAAGGCAGTTCTGGCTCTAATAAGGCAGGACTGTAGGAAGGTGCTAAGGTTTTCATGTGTGTCCCTCTCTCTTCATCCATATCAGCATTTCCATAACACCCTTTCACCTCGTGGCATATGTTCCCTTGTAGGTGAAAGATGCTGTCTAAATTAATATAGTAGATATGTTTTCCAGTCCAGAGAGTTTAAGTTTTAGAACATACGGGTTTCTCTGTACTGAAGACGTTAGAAATTTTAATGGAAGATCAGGTGGTGTGTTGCATATGGGGTAGCTGCTGATCCGGCAGCCTCTGAGTGCTTATTCAGGCTGAGTTACAGCTTTAGAGTCCTATTTGTTCCTTGGAACATACCTGATTAAAATTGTTTATTGTTCTAAACCTAGAATATCTTTGGTTGAAATTGAGCTGCTGTGGTCTCCCTCTGATTACTTTCTACTTAAACCATTACTTGATGGTGGGTGGCATCCATCCTAAACACACTTTCTGCTAACCCCTTTTCTCCTCCCTGAATGCTATGTAGTTGGTGTGCCAAAACCGTAAGTTTGGAGTGCTTGTAAGTTTTTTTGTGATGTGGAAGGGTTTACATAAAGATAGGTTTTATCTTTCCCTTTGCAAAACGTAATTTACAAAACGTATTAATGACGGAGAAGTTCAGCTTTGTAAAAACACGCCATGTGAAGGAAGACAGAAGGATAGGAAATTAGCATTTATTTTGATTTTGGTTTAAGTTGTCTCTAGCTGCTATATGATAAAGAAGAGTATTTTACATGAAGTTTTCTTCTGTCTTGAACTTTTAAGATACTTTAGTATCATCACTTTCTCGTGATTTCCATAGTCACTTAATCTTACTTTTCTTAATGGCAAATGTAATCTCTTCAGGAAAAACAATTAAAGCACACGTGTTATTTGGAAACTATCACTATTTATGACATGCATGTACAAAAATAGCACATTTTAGTGAGTATTTGTCACCTTTAAAAAAAATCTCACATACTTCATAGATTTAAGAAAATAACTGAGGCAATCCAGCCCCACAAGTGAATATTTTCCTGCAATGAGGAAGAGGAGATTCTTTCCTCCTATGACCAAAGTACTTTTAATATAAGTAATTATAATATTGAAATGTTTCTGAAGTATAAGGTTAAAATACAAGGCTTTGGCAAAGATAGTATATAATTAAGTGTTGAACTATGATTCCAGTGCGAGCCATTCCTTCAAAATATATGGAACCAGAGGGAAAACATCATTTGTGATGGGTTTGATGCTAAGGGACTATAAAACCATTAAAACATAGTTACCTTGAAGTGCCTGGCCCCTAGAAACTAGACTTGGAATTTAAAAGTACTTAGATAATCTGATGTTTTCATTTAAAGGACAATAGTACATCTAGGGAAGAGGAGCTGGGTGTGCAGCTGCTTTGAATTATACACTACTCTGAATACATGATAGCCTTTAATGAAGTTTTTGCTGTAAAGCAAGACAGCTTTATAATCTCTGACATTTAAAAAAATCATAATGCCATGAATTCTTGATTATTCATGCTAATGGAAAGGAGAAAGGGAATGAATTACATTAAAAAATTTAAATTTAACTTTGTTGTTTAGCTAGAAACACTTGAAGAGACCAAGAGACCATGAGGGTCAATGGAGAAAACATCTCCTAAGCAAATAATTCACTCAAGGAATATTTGCACACTAGAAATATATACATAATTCAGAACGAATTAGAAGGGGTACATACATTTTACCTAAGTAGTTGAAGTTCGTAAGCACATGATTGAATGAGTTTGGATTTTTCTAAAAATTAAATAGGGATATGAATATCAAATCTGCTTTTAAGCATTTTTGTATCATTTACTTTTATATTTGGAAGAAGCATTCGAGATAACAATTCCTTCCTTTAATGGAAGCAGAAACAAGCACCATGATGTATTTGCCAGACAATTTTTCAAACATACTGAGCTCATCTCAAAACCTATTTTTTTTAATGGTCAAATCTAATTTTCTAGGAGAAAATTTCACAAAAACAGGTCTTTGCAAGATGTTAACAGGTATTATATAAAATTGGGCTCCATAGTCAAACTTGGAAAATGTGATCAATTTTCTTTGCTGTGGGGCCTTTCAAGGCCTTTAAATGCTAATGAGTCCCCATAAAAGGGGAATACTTTCTCCTGGAGAAAGCATTTTACAGAAATGTCTTTCTAAGATGTCTAGTTGGGAAAACAGTGGTTCAACTGAACACTGTCTCATTTCTCATTCCCCATGCAGTACCTATCGCAGTATGTTTACTTATATTCTTGCTTTCTGGACTTGGGTTCAATTGGCATTGTACCATCTTCCTGCTTTTATGTTATAAACACCTCTGAATGTAATTTTAGAATTCTTCTCTCATTAAAGTTTATTTTTTCCTGTATCTTTGTGAATTTTCCTTCATTGTTCTCATCTATAAGAGTAATATTCGTTGTTTCACACAGGTATTATGCTTTAAAAAGAAATGCTAGCTTATTTGTGGAAAAATTCACTAACGATCCTATGTATCACTTTATTAATGTTTTATCACCATTACTACCTTGATGAAAGACACGTTTACTCAAGATGTCAATCAAATTCCTTACATTATAAATCCCCAGTATTTGTTTAATAGGCATAATAAAAGAAATCACACCTATCAAAAAATCTTATAAAAATGCTTGAGCAACTTGTTATATATTTTATATTGGCTAGTCAGGATTTT